GTGTTACAAATAATACTTCATAATGCGATTAATATAAATATTTGTAAATATATTTTTCTATATATATATGTTGGACGATACATCGTTTATCTCTATTTGCATGGTGTTAATATTGGTGTAACACAATTCTTAATTCTTTATTCGCAAAATTATGCCACAACGATTGTTATTGAAAGAAAAAGAAAGAAAGAAAGACACTAACGAAGAATGATACATCGTGCTCTTTAAAAAATGATCAGTTCTCGATTACACATTATTTTAAATGGCTGATAAGTATAGTATTTAACACTTAATGAAAAATGGTGACGGTGACCAATTTGACCTTTTTCGTTCTGACACGCAAAAGGAGCTAGCGACATCTCCGATGACAAAGGTACCAATGCCACTTTCTATTTTGTTAAAGTTCATGGGTTGAGATAGATAGCCACTACTGTGACTAGACTTGAATCCCTGGCTTGCCCGATTTTTGCGCAGGACTGCGAGGATCCAAATCCGCTGATTCGCGCTCTGGCAGTTCGCACGATGGGCTGTATACGTGTTGACAAGATAACCGAGTATCTGTGCGAGCCGCTGCGCAAATGCCTGAAGGATGAGGACCCATATGTACGCAAGACTGCAGCCGTGTGCGTCGCCAAACTTTATGACATTAACGCGGCCTTAGTCGAGGACCAGGGATTCCTGGATCAGTTGAAGGATCTCCTGTCCGACAGCAATCCAATGGTATGTAAGCTTTCCCAATGTCAGAACTTAAATAATACAATAGATGTTTTAAAATGTTATTCTATTTATACACATATTTAATAAAATATTATTAGAAATGGTATAATAAAGCAAAAGGAATTTGTTAAGCAAAAAAGATTAAAATTCATTATTATCTGAAGAGAACAGTTTTATGGATAATATATGTTGATTAATTAATGTTGTTATTAGGTTGTCGCAAATGCAGTAGCTGCTTTATCTGAGATCAACGAGGCCAGCCCGAGCGGTCAACCGTTAGTAGAAATGAACGCGCAGACCATAAACAAACTTCTGACAGCGCTTAACGAATGTACAGAATGGGGCCAAGTTTTCATCCTGGATTCATTAGCGAATTACTCACCCAAGGATGATCGCGAAGCGCAAAGCATTTGCGAACGGATCACTCCGCGTTTGGCGCATGCTAACGCTGCAGTTGTGCTTTCTGCCGTCAAAGTAAATACAGATAAATAATAAATACAGGAGAAGACCTTGATTAACTCTATCTTATACAATTTATTAAAATTTTTCTATATTATCATCAACATCTAGCGCAAGATTCTCTCTAACAAGATTGGATTAATCATAATTTCTTCTCCTGAATCCTTTAAATTTATTTTTAAAACTTTTTTACTTAATTTTATATTAATCAAATTTATTTCGATATTTTAGGTATTAATGAAATTAATGGAAATGCTGCAGTCCGAATCGGATTTTGTCGGCACACTTACAAAGAAATTGGCGCCTCCTCTTGTTACGTTATTGAGCTCCGAACCAGAAGTTCAATATGTTGCATTGAGAAATATCAATCTCATCGTGCAAAAACGACCAGATATTCTAAAACACGAGATGAAAGTATTCTTCGTAAAGTACAACGATCCTATTTATGTAAAATTGGAGAAGCTAGATATTATGATTCGTCTAGCGTCACAGGCCAATATCGCGCAAGTTCTGTCGGAATTGAAGGAATATGCCACCGAGGTCGACGTGGACTTTGTAAGGAAAGCTGTGCGAGCCATCGGTCGCTGCGCCATAAAAGTCGAGCCGTCTGCAGAACGTTGCGTCTCCACGTTACTGGACCTGATACAAACAAAAGTAAGTAAAGATATTACAGACATCTTAAAATATCAAATTTTTAAATATATATCCTTAATATATTTTTATATTTTAAATATTTTAAATATGTAATATTGAAGTTTAATATTTCAAAATTAATTGATTATTGATTAATTGATATCTTTAATTTTTCTCAGGTGAATTATGTTGTTCAAGAAGCAATTGTAGTAATAAAAGACATCTTTCGCAAGTATCCTAACAAATACGAAAGCATAATTTCAACTCTATGCGAGAATTTGGACACATTAGATGAGCCTGAAGCACGTGCCTCCATGATATGGATTATCGGAGAGTATGCAGAACGCATCGACAATGCTGATGAATTGCTAGAAAGCTTCCTAGAAGGCTTTCATGACGAGAATACACAAGTACAGCTACAATTGCTCACTGCAATTGTCAAATTGTTCCTCAAGAGGCCTACGGATACGCAGGAGTTGGTTCAACAAGTGCTCAGCCTGGCTACGCAGGATTCTGACAATCCCGATCTGCGAGACCGCGGTTTCATCTACTGGCGATTACTGAGCACTGATCCGGCAGCGGCTAAGGAAGTAGTGCTTGCGGAAAAGCCTCTGATCTCAGAAGAGACGGATCTGCTGGAACCGACATTGTTAGATGAATTGATTTGCCACATCTCGAGCTTAGCATCCGTATATCATAAACCTCCTACTGCGTTTGTAGAAGGTAGAGCAGCTGGTGCCAGGAAGTCGCTGCCCGCTAGAAGCAACTCAAACGAGGAATCTAATCGGACAACTGCACAACCCCACGCACAGGTCATACCTGCTCAGGATTCCCTGATTGGTGACCTCCTCAGTATGGACATCGGTGAGCGAATCTAAATTTAAAATTAGAAAATTAAAATGTGTAATAATAATATTTAAAAAGTATGTATTGTGTAAATGCTTTTGCTTCGAAAAATTTCAAAGTATTTTTTATATAGTCGCAGATAAAAAATATGTCCATCCTACTTATTTATTTATTGATTTATTTTGTTGCAGGTGGACCGACAATGGTCACACCGGCACCTGCACCACAGTCTTCGGGACTAGGATTAGATCTTCTAGGCGGTGGCCTCGACGGAATCCTGAACGACAATACGAGTGCACCAGCCGTTTCTCAGAGCACAACGGGTCTACTCGGTGATATATTCGGCTTCAACCAAGGTCCCACGCCTTATATATCTCCCAAAGTTAATTGGCTACCAGCCGAAAAGGGCAAAGGTTTTGATATTTGGGGCACATTTTCGAGAAAGTAATTAATATATTAATGAATACAGAGAACATCTGATTATATATTTCCTTGATTCCAAATAATTATACTATGCAAAATATGTTGTAGAAATGGCCAAATTAGCATGGATATGACCTTCACAAACAAAGCAATGCAACCTATGGGAGGATTTGCGATACAGCTCAACAAAAATAGCTTTGGCTTAACGCCGGCAGCTCCGTTGCAAGTTCCAGCTCCTCTGAGTCCTGGATCGAGTATAGAAGCGAATGTTATACTGTCTACCGCGGGTGCGGTGCAACGTATGGAGCCTTTGAACAATTTGCAAGTTGCTATCAAGAATAATATCGATGTTTTCTACTTCGCGTGCATCGTACCTATGAATGCATACTTCGCGGAAGATGGACAGTTGGACAAGAGAGTGTTTCTTTCTACCTGGAAAGATATACCTGCACAGAATGAGGTATTATTCATCTATTTTTTTCTATGTTTGTCGAAAAATGCTTTCTGTAAGATTCATTAATAAAGAAAAGATTCTTTAAAAAACATATCTTGTTTGCAGGTACAATATACGCTAAACGGTGTAATGTTGACCGCAGATCAAGTGGTGCAAAAGATGCAACAGAATAATGTCTTCACAATTGCTAAGAGAAATGTAGAGGGACAGGATATGCTTTATCAGTCTCTCAAGCTGACGAATAATGTCTGGGTATTGAACGAGTTGAAAATTCAGCCGGGCAATCCCGATGTCACGGTATGCTTAATACAAGTATCATATTTAAATTTTATCAATATGATTATCATAAAAATTAGCAGTTAGTTTAAGAAAAGTTTTCTTATTCTTAGATCTTAGATTCATAGAAATATAATTTTATCTTGATTTAATGTACATTTTTTTAAATTAATGAAATTCTATAAAAAAAATTGTTACATGGGATATTTTATACATTTTTATGTTTACCTTAAATTTTATCAATCTTCTTTTCTTTTATTGTAGCTGTCCTTGAAATCTCGATCCGTAGAAGTCGCTCCTGGAGTATTTCAAGCGTACAATGCGATTTTACATTCTTAAGTTTTCTTTCTTTCATCAATTAGGATATTGCTGTAAGATGCAAATTATAAAAAAAATGAGAACATGCGCAGCAACTTATTTGTAGGAGCTATCTATGTACATCCGCATGAGACTCGAGAGTATCTTGAAATACAGTACTACAGGAATCTCTGTTACAGATTGAATTTATTATAAAAATGACCATGGACGTGTATGGAAATAAAGATTTATGATATCACGTCTGTGTCCTTATTTATGCGTTTTTTTGTATTTAGATATAAAAAATATAACATGTACATGTTTATAATCTTAAACAGCCTCTAGATGATCAATATTATTGCACAATACAATTTTGATTATTTGGAAGCTATATTACTTTCAAACTGTTTTGAATTGTTTAACGAGAACATTAATGTTTTATAAAATAATTGTACAATATTGAGTGTTTGGAGGACATTTTTTTACTTTCAACCATATATATATGCTATATGCAAGTAGGATCAAATATATTCGACAGACTATATGAAAATTAATTACAGTTTTCATTAAGTTTATGATCAATTTTTAATATTTTCAAATATATCTAATTATAAAATTTTTATTTTAATTATGCTATAAAGAGTTGGATACATTCCAAGATATCTAATTGAATTTACGTCTTAAAAGAAATCCAATTTAATCCAGGAATACATAGCTAAAAAAAACTATGACGATGTAATAATATCGACATAACTATATAGTTTATTAACACAACTTGTGGTAATAAAGAATTTTTAGTTCCTAAAAAAAATTCTACGAATCTTTTGCATTTACTACAGCATATCCTGTTATATAGATAGGTAATGTCTCGTAATGTGAAATAATACTATAATACATAATGTGATCGTGTTTATTTATCGAATATAAAGAGAGAAATCGAATACATATCGAATAAAATTAACACTGGACTTTTCTTCTAAAAGAGCATCCCTCAGTTAACCGTGCTTTTCCACCCGTTGGTGTACAAAGTATCGTACGGCATCCGTCACATTCTACTGGCCTCTGGGCATGTGAGAAAATTGTTTTGATAGCATAGCAGCCCGGGCATTTGACATCCATAAAATAACTGTTAGGCTTCTGTACGAGCCTCTTCAGTTTGTGTTTCCTTTTCTCCTCGATGGGGCTCGGATGGAGAAAATCTCTAGCCAACGGCATTCTGTAAAATAGATTCAGCCATCAAAAACTTGTATTTGAGGAATAGAATTATAAATCCTTCTGTCAAACAACATTTTTTCGCGTGTATTTAAATACAATTTGTTTTATTACAAGTAAAAATGTATACATACAATATTGTGCAATCTTGTGCGATGACAATGTCATGATATGACAATAACATTAGGATTGCTTAACGAAAAATTATAAATATAACACGAGCTCGATTTGTCGAATTCTTTTCCGATACAAATACGATCAGAAACGTTAATTAACATCTACCGGATAATTTGTGTAGTAATGGGCGATACCGCAACGGGCAAAAGCGCAGTAACATGCCGCTCACGAAATGAGCATGAAAAACTATTTCCCAGATTGACTGGGCCCACCACAACATAGATTAATGGAATTCACGCAACAGCGAATAAAATGATGCAAATACTTACACGATTCGCAGAGTATTTCGCCTTAAATTCGATAATTACAATCGCACCCACGTGTTTACAGGACAACGTTAAGCACTGGAAAGGAACGGTATAGGATTTGACGCGAAACATTTAAAACCCTAGATCCAGAAGAGTCCGCCAGTATTACCAACTTCTGTTTGCAAATGGGTAAATTTTGTTGATTGGGTGATTGGTCAATTGGACTAAATAAATCTGGACAAGTCAGTTTTCGCGCAAAGTAAAGACGAATGATATGACGCATCTTACATAAATTTAACCCTTGATGTTATCATCTACGGAATGCAAAGTGTATTGAAAAAAAAATTAAAAATTAAATTAAAAAAATTTTTTGACGAAACTGGCGATCTTTTGTAACAAATTTTATCAATAAATTTCTGCATTTTCTCAGTTTTTAATATTATTTAATTTTCTTGTGAAAGATTGAAGAAAAATATTTATAGAGACAAGGCCATTCAACAGAGAAGAATTGTGTACTTAAGAAAAAAACATAATTTTTAATTAAACAAAAGCATATTATGTCTTCTGTCGAGACAGAATCGAAGAAGAAGAAGAAAGTGCTTATGATTTGCTTGGGTATTATATAGAGATATCACATAACTCATAAAACATTTTATACTTTTTAATTTTGTAAATATATATATATATATATATTTTTTAATAAACATAATACAAAATATAAATAAGCTATATTTGTGTTATTAATTAATGATTTATTTTATATTACAGGCAATATTTGTCGTTCGCCTATAGCAGAGGCTGTATTTCAGAATGAAGTGAAGAAGAGAGGTTTGCAAGATCAGTGGAAAGTAGAAAGCGCTGCCATTATTGGATATCATACAGGTAAAAAACCAGATATTAGAGCCCGGGATACGCTAACAGAAAATGGAATCACTGATTATTCTCATACAGCACGCAAAGTAAGATTTTGTATTTTCAAGAATAAACATTAAAATTTTATTATTATGACATTTTATTATTATTGTAATAGCAATTATAGCTTGGGTTTTCTATGCTCTGAGTAGTTTTATTTATGATTAAATTTTTGTGAAAAAATAAATCATTATAATTAAATAAATTGTAATTAGATGAATTATTCAATATTTATTTTATTTAGAATCATTAAATCATGGAATTAATATATATTGTATTACTATATACCATTGTATATCTAAATATCTTTAATTACATACAGATCGAACTAGACGACTTCAACAAATATGATTGGATATTTGGTATGGATCAGGAAAACATTAAAGATTTACTTAGTAGAAAACCAATGACTTCCCAAGCAAAAGTGGAACTTCTAGGAAGTTATAGTCCAAGCGGAACAATTATAATACGAGATCCGTATTACGTACGTCATCTTTTGGCGTTTATAGAATTAGAAAACAAAAATTGAAGATACATTGAATTATTCTCAATCTCAAATTCTCTGATCTTTTTACAGGACAGCGATAGTGCAGGATTTCAGAAAGCCTATGATCAATGTGTGACATGCATAACAGTATTTTTGAACAAACATTCGAGTTAATGAGAAGACTATTCTAAAGAATCAATGTACCTATATATTTTTAAAAGAATATGTTCTGAACCAATAGGTACAAAATTTTTAAATATTGAATTTATTACAAAATAGAATGTTTTTAAAGAATATTTTCATATTTAATATAGAGAAATGAATATCGATTTAGACATTATTCATAAGATCATTGTAAACCTATTGATATGTTCTAAGATAATCATATAAGAAAAGGATGTGAGAAATGTGTAAATATTAAAAAACTATATAAAGATAATATATATTCTTTTCTCATTCCATTTTAATTTATATTTTCACAGCATAATTATGTTAAAAAATTACATATATATAAAGATTAATAAGAATTTAAAAAATTAAAAAAAATTTTTTTTTAGACTAGAATTATTTATTTTTTATTTTCAGTAAATATTTCAGCAACAAAGCTGAATGAATTTCTGAAAGTGTCATTTAAGTTTCTAAAATCTGAAGTTTCTAAAATGAAGGCTTAAATTTTTTTATTTAATCACACACTTGAAAAATAATTTGCTAATAAAATTTCACAACGCAGAGTTTATCATCTTAAAGAGTTTATCATCTTATTTTATCAAGCTATTGTAGTGACATATAATATTAGGTATAGTAAAAAGAAATCCATTATTTTTCCATTTTATGCAAAAATAATGGATTTCTTTTTACTACACCTAATATATTGTTAGTGTCCTTTGACAGGATACTCCAAAGATATAATTTTCCTAATTTTCAACTCACTCTTAAGTGATGCAATTTCCCGCCCACATGTAGCCTTGTAGCACATACACTTGCCAGATTGACTCCTCTATAATTTGTTGTTGTGTTATAAGCGCAAAATTTCTATTAAGATCTATTTTTAGTAGAGACCACTAAAAAAATCATTTCTTTCCTCGCGCCACCCGGTCTGATTAGATTTGACAATGGGCGCGTTCAACTTGATAAAGCGGCTAGCCTACTCGCCGAGCAAATAAATATAATTGGTTGTTACTTATAGATCCAACCAATCATATTCAATCACTTGGTAAGCACGATTAGCTACTTTGCCGTCTTGAACTCGCCCAATCACTCGATAAACTTAGACGGCTTTGCCGTCTTGAACTCGTCTACTGTCAAATCTAATCAGACCGGGTGGCGCGAGGAAGACAGTGATCTTTTTAGTCTCCAGAAATATCCTAAAAATAGATATTAAAGAAATTTTCAGTGTACTTTTTCTTATCTACTATAACAAGAAATATGATGCGAAAGAAGAAAGTTCTCATGGTTTGTTTAGGTATTGTAACTTACTATTTTTAATTATAAATTAAATTTGTCAAATTGTCATACTGTTTTAAAATATAGAATAAGGAAATTAAGAATGTGTTCGGAGAGACGCCTGATATTATTCTAATATTATATTAATATTTTGCGTCATCTTTGCTTTATATCTATGATGATGGATTGACACAATTAGCGCTAATAGTATCTCCCCAAACACACCCTAAGTAATTATTGTTATCCCAACAGTTTTTTTTTGTAAAAAAAAATATCTAAAATATATTAACTATCGTTTTTCACTGCAAGTACTGAAAATCAATAATATACGAAATTTTCAGTACTCGCACTGAATAATGAACAGACCCACTTTAACACATACATGTGATGAAATAATTTCTTTAAGGAGAGGTTCCGAGATATTTCACGTAAGGTTACAGTTTTCTATTTTTAAGAGTTATATAATTAATATAATGCATGCAATGTACATATAACTCGCAAACTGAAGTATAGCTGAAAGCGGTCTTGGCTTTTCTTATAATGAAATCTATGCATTCCATCTAATATAATGATGATATATGCTATCTAATATGCATTTCAAAGTATTTCAACAATGTTTTAAACTAGAATTTCAATATTTTATTTTGAATCAACATCTTAATTTTTTCATGCAGGGAATAGTTGTCGCTCTCCTATGGCGGAAGCGGTGTTTCAGGATCAAATCCGAAAAATGGATTTGATAGATTTCTGGGAAGTCGAAAGCGCCGCTCTTCTAAGTTATCATGTAGGCAATGATCCTGAACCTAGAGCAACAGCCACACTTCAAAAAGCAGGAATTACGGATTACTCTCATATTGCAAGAAAAGTAAATGTTAAACTTAATAAACAATTGAAAGCAGAGATAATAAAAACAGACATTAAAGGTCGCATGCTCTAACATGCTCTAAAATGCTCCTACCATAGCATTTACTCACTCTAACGCGCTCGTTGAAATGAATAGGAGCTGTAACAGGAGCACATTGGAGCAAGCTGAAGCATGCGATGCGAACAAATTTAATAGATTTCAAGATAAATTGAAATTTGTTATTCCCTGTTTCTATTGCCAATACTTTTTTAGTATCTCAAATTTTACAATTCAATTTGATTCTTTCTTCTGTTTGTCTATCAGTTTTACATAATTGTTGGATAAAAATATTTTCCACAGCAATAGATATACAGAGATTTGAGATAGAATTATATCAGGAGTAATTTACAGATCACGACTAACGATTTTTACAAATTTGACTGGATATTCGGAATGGACGAATATATTATCGAATTATTGTATGAAAAGCAACCGGAAGATAGTCAAGCAAAGATAGAACTACTTGGGAAATACGATCCATCTGGAATAATTATCATAAAAGATCCTATCTTTGTACGTATTATTCGAGAGTTTTGGCTGCGTTTGATTTCGATAAACTTTATTCTATCTTTATCACTCATTACTTGTAGAAGGAAGATAGAATATAGTTTACAAGCTCGTGAACGAAACAAAAAAAAACGTACCCTCTATAAAAGTAATTTAACAAGATAGTATATTGTTCTATTGTAGAATTGAGTATATGTAGTATATGAGTATAATAGCAAAGTTTGTTTGTCGACAGGATGTTGGTAATGTCGGATTTGAGAGAGCATTTGAACAAGCTTTAAGAAGCGTACGCGCATTCTTGGAAATTCACAAAGTATTTTTCATTTCAAATATTTTATATTTCTCATTTCATCTTTCTAATATTCAAATATATTTTAAAAGAGATTGCCCAATTTTACGAATCTCTCCAGAATTAATGAGTTGTTAAAAAAAAATTTTGACATCTTATTCCAAACATTCTAAACTTTTATAATTAACTCAAGTTTTCTTTACAGGATAATATGCTCGACAAATCATAATAAAGATGTTAAAAATTTTTATTTTTTAGAAGTACTAAAAATGAGAAAAGAAATGAGAAATTAAGTTTTACCTAATTTGTTCAGCTTGTATAGGGTGTTCTATAATTCATCCGACAGAACTTGTGGACAGGTAGAGCGGACTAAACTGAGACGGAAAGTCCTCCACCTTTATAATTTCCGCAAAAGTTAACGAAATATTAATCTCTAAAGATCACCGAATCTGTATATTGTAGAGTATTTACAAAATAAATAATAAATTATAATAGATTGATATGTTTATTATTTACAAAATATATTTACAAAATAAAGTATATTTACAAAATAAAGAGACATTAATTTTTCTGAAATTCAATTTCTCTTAACGCAATAATCTGTAGACGCGTTCTTTCACAATTGAAAGTAAAATGCTTTCTCTAAACCGCGAACAAAAACCTAAATAAACGGATCATAATGATTGTTCCGACATAAAAAATTTATAAATATTTTTTACATTATAAATTGAGATCAATACTATTTTATCGATTAAGATTCGAATGTATATAAATGTAAAACGATCATTTTTTTATTTTTTTACATTTTTTAATTTGTAATTTCATTTGTAAATTAAAATATGTATATTCATTCTAAAAGAGTAATTTGAACTTTTGAGAAACAAAAAAACTATCAAAATAGAAAACAGGTTAAATATAATTAAATAACAAAGGAGTATTATGAGCCAATTAATTATTTTAATGAAATGAATTTCAAATACTTAAAGATAAACATTTCAACCTATCTACTAGATTAATATCATGTAATAGTTATATTCATGCAAAAATGACGTACATCAATAGACCAAAAAAAATATAACATATGTGACGTAATATTTAACAATTCCCCTGAATTAAAAAATATATATAATTGGGAGTACAAAGGGAGTTAGTTCGGTCTGTTTTTTTGTGTTCAAAAATGCATTTATTTCAAAATAAAATGAATGAACAGATCAATTAAAGTATTGTCCATCGCTGCCTACTACTTTTTTCTATCTCTCAGGCAATTTTCGAATTTCATCTCGAAAAAATGACTCGTCTTTGGAGATCCAATTTTGGAGCCAATTTTCGATTTCTGCGAAAGAAGCGAACCGGTGATTTGCCAAATCGTGCTGCATCCTTCGGATCAGTAATTAGACACAATCAGTAATTAGAAGGAGCAATGTCCGGAGAATACGGTGGGTGCGGTAAAACATCCCATTTGAGCGTTTTCAAATATTTTTTTACGATTTTAGCGACATGAGGCCGAGCGTTGTCATGAAGAAGGATAATTGTATCATGTCTCTGTTCGTTTTCTCGCAATGTACGGCTCAAACGAATCAATTGTAGCCGATACCGATCGCCCGTAATGGAATCGCCAGGTTTCAGCAGCTCATAGTAAACAAGACCCTTTTGGTCTCACCAGATACAGAGCATGATCTTCAAACCATGAATGTTTGACTGTGATGTTGAGGCCGGATTTAGCGTAGTATTTTTTCTTCTTGGAGTTGTCGTAGAATATCCACTTCTCATCTCCAGTCACAATCTGATGCAAAAAACCTTTTCTCTGTTGTCTTTGAATCAGCTGTTCGTAAGTGAAAAATCGCTTTTCAACGTTTTTCGGTTTCAGTTTCCAATTTCCTTGTTTTTGAATCATTCCCATGGCTCTCAATCGTATAGAAACGGCTTGAGTTACTCCCAATGATTCTGCAAACTGCTCTTGCATTTGATTCTGATCTTCTTCGAGTAATGCCTCTAATTCTTTGTCTTCGAATTTTTTTGGTCCAGAGCGAGGCTTGTCTTCAATGCTGAAATCTCCAACTTTGAAATGTCGAAATCATTCCTTACATGATTTATCAGTTGGTGTCATCATAAACTTCGACAAGCATTCGATGAACTTCAGCCGCACTTTTCTTCCAATTAAAGCAGAAAATAAAAATCTCCCGCAAATGCTTGGTTAACACAAAATTCGACATTTCAAACACAATAAAAATCAAGATTTTTGTATGAAACTCAAAGCGATATAAACTAAATATTATTAGCAGATGTTTAACCTCTCTGAAACTGCCAAAAGCTGTCAGCTATCACTATGAACCATTCACAATAGCTGGAGCCATCTTTAGGGAAACAGACCGAACTAATTTGTACTCCCAATAGATGAATATTGACGATTAACACACATTTACGAAAAACCATATTTCTTTGTAAAATGGGAGATTTGTATTTTATTTTATTTTATGTATATATACTATTATATATCTTCTATATTTTCCGATTTTGATTACATAGAATATGTACATAGAATACATATTGAACATGAGAACACATGAATTAGAGCAATTACATCAAACAATTGATACTGTCTGATGCGATAAATTTGTATATTTGATTTCCTCGGAGAGCAGAGGCCTCAATCTCTTCATTCGCTTTAAATCGAAATTTGTCTAACGTCGTTTTAAGTTTTTTTAAGTTTCTTAACAAGTCCTGACTTGTCAAGACTTAATTATAAATCAATTCTAAACAGAATCATAAGCTCGTAATTTATTCTTGTAACATATAAGAACTTATGATTACTAATGTTTTATAATTTTATATACTGTAAGATATACGATCATTTATAATAAATATCTATGATTTCTCGTAAATCTTACGGTTAGCAAGAAATCGTAAAAATATTGCATCAAGTTATAAACATCTGTAAAAATTCTTTAAAAGAATATAAAGAACATAACATGTTACGAGCTTTCTTCTTAGAATTGAATCTGTTTAGAATTTAAATATTAATCAGGATATACTCCACACAATATTGGAGCACTGTTCTTTAAACGAAGAGACATATATTAGTCTCTTCAATTACTAGATAAAGCGATGTTGCGCTTAAACGAGAAAAAATCACAAACGAACCCGGATCTATAGATCACGAGTCGACCGCTTAGAGCGATGAAGCCACTCGACTCCCCCGAACGAAATTTAATTCGAAATTCATATCAGTTGTTATAAACAAAAAAAAACAAAAGCAAAAAACCAATCTTTAAGAACAAAAACGCACCTTTTGTGGAATAATTTTGTTACTCTGAATTAATTATGT